TTTCAAACAAAAAAAAATTATTATTAAATTTATTTTAATTAAAAATATATATATCATGTATGTGATTTTTTAAATTAAAAAAAGATTTAAAAAGATTACTGGTGAAATTTATTTTAATTAAAAATAATATATTTTATAATTTTTTTTATTTTTTTTAGTTTAAAAAAGTCACTGACAAAATATATTTCCGGATTTTTTTTCACTATTTTACCACTTTAACTAGTTGTACAAGTCATAAGAATGTATCCAACATGTTTTATAAAAGTTCAAGAAGTTATTTAAMATGTTTTGGATTGTTCAAAGACTTATTTGTTCCAAAAATTGTCCAATGAGTTATTTAATATTTTTTGTAATGTCTAGTGATTTATTTGTTCCAAAAATTGTCCAAGGACTTATTTAACATTTTTTGGAATGTCTAAGGACTTATTTAACATATTTTGGAATGTCCAAGGACTTATTTGTTCCAAAAAATTATCCAAGGACTTATTTGACATGTTTTGGAATGTCCAAGGACTTATTTGTTCAAAAAAAAAGTCTAAGAACTTAATCATTCCAAACCACAAAGTCCATTGGTTTTTATTGTACTTTTCCCTTATTTATTTGATCTCTTTTGTACATTATTTTTTATTAATATATATATATATATAGATATATATATTAAATTACATAAATTAATACAAATATAGAAACCGTGTAAAAATAATATTTTGAGTACAATAAAATGAAGGTTTAAAAAGCATAAAATACAATAATAAAATTTAAAGAATGAATAAAATGTAAAAAGAGACTTATGTGACGTTTTATAAAAGAATTAAATTTCATTTTGAAGTTATATTAGTAAAATGTAAGTTTGTTCCAACATGTTCCTGGGGTGGGGGTGGAACATGTCTATTCCACTCTATTATTATCTAGGGGTATAAATGATGCGAGTCAAACTGGGTATCAATATACTCGACTCGAACTCGATAGCTATTTTTCAAGCTCGAACTCGACTCGATAACTCGTGAGTAGTTAGTAATTAAACTCGACTCGATTGCAATTTTTTTAACTAGAACCCGAGCTCAAACTTGTTTGAAACTCGAACTCCTACTCAAATCAAGCTCACCGTCGAAATTTATGAAAAAATTTTAGGGTCTTTCTTATAAATTATAAAACTTAAAGGTGTTCTTTTAAATTTTAGAAACTAAACGGATGCACCTCAAACTTTATCATCAAAAAGACAAAGTTACAAACTTCATTCATCTCTATCTTTTTATAACTCTTCATTCTTCTTTTACTATATCTCTTTCAACGTGGGACAACTTTAACAACGCTTCTACGTTTTTTTTGTCATTTTTATTATGATTTTTATAAAAAAAAAATATTGATATAATTTCTATAGTTAAAATTGCATAATATTGTTCAAATACCTAAAAATATAATACATTTTTATTATATTATATTATACATATTATATTATAAAACTGATTATATTTTTAAAACTAATTATATATAAAAAAATCGAGTATCTCACAAGCTCTTCGAGTCGGGTATTAGATTGCTCGACTCAACTTGTTAATATGTCGAGTCGAGTTCAAATTTAAGCGTATTCGAGTCAAGTTTTGACCGAGTCAATCTCAAGTAGCTCGCAGTTGTCTCGTGTTGATTACACCTCTATTATTGTCTGTTTCACATAAAGTCCTGCCAAACGTGGAATAGGGATCTATATCCTCTCATGTCCTGTCCAGTGTACCAAACGCAACATCCTTAGTAAAACGAAAAATACACATAAAAAATATTCATATGATAAAACAAATACATGTAAAACTATCATGTTATGAACAAATATATGTGAAGTAATATCTTAGATCCTAAAATTTGATGGAAAAAGATCATGTAAAAACTTACTTTTAAATTGGTTCGCATGGGGTTTGTAATTTTTTGTATGGTTCTTATTTGATTTAACCTCTATGTGTGTGAGTGTGTGTAGCAATATGTTATTTTGAGAAGTAAAAAATATTTGAGAAATAAAAAAGTGATCTTAGCATTTCATACGGTCAATATTGGATTTGACTAGTCAAAATTTGCGATTATGCCAAAAATAGATGAGGTAGTTTTGTAATTTTTATAAATAGAATGCAAACGGGTCCACATATCACATATGAACTCATGTCATTCACATATGAACTATTTTAACTTATTCACATATGAATTCGTGTAATTTACACATGAAGTGAA